TAAAAGTTTCTTGATACGTTGTTACCGTAACAAATAAGTACTAATCCTTTTTGATATAGTGAGTCATAAGATGAAAGCAACCACATTATGGCGGTGTAAAATTTTAATAGACTGTGGTTAATGGTTTAAGTTATAAGATATTTGAGCTTTGTATTAAAGTCGGTACTGTAAGTTATAAGTGTAGCGAGTGGCTTCGCATGACTGGAGATTTTTAAAAATATTTAGGAAATAAATATAGCCAAGGATTTTTAGGAGAGGGAGAGAGAAGGATATTTTACTCAAGAGTAACGTATAAAAATTGTGCACTATATAGTTATAATGGTCGTTTTGAATTAAATAGTGTGATGCAAATACGGGGAGAGCGGTCGGGGCATTTGCCACAGGTCACTGACCGCACCACACACCGCACGTCACTGCTACCGTAGCTGCACGCTTTTATTATTTTATTTATTCGCTGCGTTAAAAAAATACAAATCTTTCCTATTTTATAATATAGGAATAGATTTGTAAATCTGAAGTAATAAGAATAATGAATATAGAAGCATAAACATGTTTCGGAATTTAAACAAATATTTCTAAGTATGTTTTTGGAAAAAACAAAATGAATAATTATGATGATGGAGTAATAAAGAAAAGTCTTTTAATTTTTCATTTTTACAATTCGGACTCGCTCCGTCGCATGTACCTAAGAACGAAAAAAAGAGAGAAATTTGTGAGTAAATGGTTTAAATTGAGAACTTGCTTAATAGGTCGTCTTCTTCAATTTCGTTCAGTATTTAATTGACTTGATTCGTTATATCGCTTAAGCTTATAACTTATCAATACTTAGAAAGGTAGTTTTATACCGCGATAAACACTTTATTATACAGACCAACCATACCAACTTCATAATTATATATAACTAGCAAACTCGGCGAACTCCGTTTCGCCACCAGATGGCTTCGTTTTGTGTAACATTTCGTTTGGTGATTCCGCTTTTCTGTTGAAATTTTTCCTGAATTTTCTTTGCTATAAACGGAGCCCGAGCCCTTTCCAACGAATGCAAAACCGTGGAAATCGGTTCGTGCGTTCTGGAGTTATAGCGTCAGGAAGGAAAACCCGACTTATTTTTATATATTAGATATAAAAATATTTAGCCGAAAGTGAACTCTCTATTCCATAACTCTCAACAACAGATACGACCAATGTCTGTTACACAGAAAGAAGAGAGGGGACACGGATCATCGAAAGATCATGGCGCTCTTCTTGGTACGCTATAAGAGATCATGGTAGGACTCCAGGTTCGATTTAGATCCGCGCTGGGGTAAAAACCATTAAATCAGGATTTAATGACCTTTTTTATGTGGTAAAAATTTTGAAGTGCCGGCACTTTCATATGATGTGTCATGTCACTATCATTTTATGATTTAATATAATTTTTTACCATAATATTTTGTACAGAGACAAGACATAATTGAAGCGTGCGATTCTCATCCCTAAGGTCCATTATCTCCCTTGTAATGACGATGATTGCACTGATTTGACAATAGACTATTAGTTTTCTAAGTGTGTTGCATCCCTCCAAACAATTATTGTTCCTACTTATAGTAATTTTGTGTATCACGTTCTTAATGAGGTTTAAATTTCTATTTACTTTTGGTTATCAAGCTATTGCATAGATTTTATCGCGGGCTTTGAGCGCGGCGACGAAAGAAAGAAATTCAAGAAATTCCGTAACGAAAATTAAAAACTAACACACGATGACGTAAAATAGGTGCGGCCAATACGCGTCAGAGCGGGACAGAACGCATACTGCATCTCACATCGGTCTGGCGTGATCGGTGACGTAGCGCAGATGCGCTAGAGGGGGACAGAACGCATACTGCGTATTCACATCTCTCTGACGAGATCGGTGAAGCGGCCGGTGCAGCCGATACGCGTTAGAGTGAGACAAACTATATAGTCGTGTTATTCTGAGTCTGGTAGAGTGGTAGATTGAATTAATATCAAAGAAAAAACTGGATAAATAAATAATTATAATTGCATAAGTTGATAAAAATAAATATATAAGGTGAGCCGAGCCTTCCGTTTTCCCACTGTTTAAAAAAACTGGCAACCTGCTCGCCTAATGATGAATTACTAAAAATAATGAATATGCTATCTGATCAAGAAACTGTCGTAACGGATGTTGTAGTGCCACTGATTTATTATATTTTCCTTTATTCCTTGAGAATTTTCACGTAAGACCAAGATTAGGTCCCTTTTAAGATCGTGAATATTTCAGTAACCGTGAAATATGTTTAGTTTTAGTCATATTTTCGGAGCACTTTGCGTCGGCATTTTCTTTATGACTAAGCTTCATATACACCTAAAGGGTTGGCAATAAAAAAATCTGTAGTACACTCTTACAATCAGTAAATAAGCTTCATAAGATTTGCATATACAGTAATTGTAAATTATTAAAAAAAACGTGTGTGTACTTAATTAAGTACACGCGTAAGAAGTTATAGTTTTTGGCGTAACAAGATAAAAATCTTTTCAAAAGTTTTATCTTCGCCTTATTGTACGTTTGTAGAAAAAACGACACTAACAATAGAAAATTTACTCTCATCATTTTTTCCGAACGCGCCAAAAGAAGTATAACTTCAAAAAAACTAAGATGTTGACTCTAGCTAACTAAAGGTTGTCGGTTTTTTGTGACGGTATGCGCACGCAACCTAAAAATTTATTCTCATAATTTTTCCCTAACGCGCCAAAAGAAGTATAACTTCAAAAAACCTAAAATGTAGAGTATAGCTAACTAACAGGGTGTCGGTTTTTTGTGACGGTGTGCGCACGCAACGTAAATATTTACTCTCATAATTTTTCCCTAACGCACCAAAAGAAGTATAACTTCAAAAAACCTAAAATGTTAACTTTAGCTAACTAACAGGATGTCGGTTTTTTGTGACGGTGTGCGCGCGCATCGTAAGAATTTACTCTTATCATTTTTCCCTAACTCGCCACAAGAAGTATAACAAAAAACCAGTGCCTGTAACTGTTTGGTGATTTGTTTTTTTTTTCTAATAGGGAAGTAGGTGACCAGTCTTCAGTGCCTTTTTGCTAAGGCATGCCCGATTTCCTTATGTTTTCCTTCCGCGTACGAGTGAGTGAGGGTACGATTTCCTTTGGTGCACAGTCGTTTCGAAAAATATTACACCTCGTAGTCCCGAACAATCTGAAGGAAGCCTTCAAAGGAAATAATTTTTCCTGTAAAAATATCCATTACAAACAAAAAGTAAAAATCCTGAACTCTTTATTTATGTAATATACATATTTATAAATAACATCTTTTTTTGTGCAACGTAATTTTTGATCTCACTTGAATTGCTGACTAAATTGTCCATTTATTTATTTAAAAGTAGCAAAAGGCTTTTATAAAAATGTTAGCGATAAATGCATCGTGTACAAACCGCCTTATCGTTTACAAAGTGTTATCTCAGGGTTAATATTTTTCGGAGTGCTCTCATTCACATTTGCTCACCTTTTCAGCGACATAAAGGACAGACTTTTGTAGTTGTAGCTTTTTAAATGATTAAGTTCCGGAATTCAATTTCCAATGCGTTTTGAATTAGAATTTGTAGAAAACTTATTTTTTCTGTTGCTTCATGTACAGGGCAGTGCTGGCCTAGTGGCTTCATCGTGCGACTCTCATCCCTGAGGTCGTAGGTTCGTTCCCTGGCTGTGCACCAATGGACTTTCTTTCTATGTGCGCATTTAACAATCGCTCGAACGGTGTAGGAAAACATCGTGAGGAAACCAGCTTGCCTTAAACCCAAAAAGTGGACGGCGTGCGTCAGGCACAGGAGGCTGATCACCTACTTGTCTATTTGATAAACAAACGCTCATGAAACAGATACAGAAATCTTAAGCCCAGACCTAAAATGGTTTCTTATTTATTTATTTACACTTAGAAAAAAAGGTTGTAGCGCCATTGATTTTTTTTACAGGGCGATACATAACGACATTACCGATTTCCAATATAAGAAATCGCTTTGCTTAATTTTTTTCTGAATCAATTAAAAAGATGCAGAAATATGTCAAATAGAATGTTGGCCACTTTTTTATAGATTTAAATAATCATTATTTAGGGGATGAATTTATTTTGTTTATTTACTTATTTAGCATTGTGGGCTTCCTTACAATTAATTATTACCGTTAAGAAGGCCTAGACCATTTCAAATTTCGTTTTCGTTATAAAGTAAGAAACTGTTCCACTTACTCTGCGGACCTGTTACTATGCAAATTTTCCGATTGCGCTTTAGTCTAATAGCAGGTAACATCTATCTGTATTCATACATTCATCTTGCAATTTCCTTTAGTTCCACTTGTTGCTGACTTATGAAAATATTGACAATTCCTTCCATTTAGTGGCATCGTATTGCAATACCGAGTTTAATTTTCGGTAAACAAGGTATTTTTTTGTATAAGAGGACCTGGTTTTGTTATCTGATAATTTTTTTTTATGGCTCTGGCACTGATTGTGCATTAGCCAGCGTCAAGTATAAGATTTATATAATTCGCAATTGTAATTGCCATCCTCGGCCTAGAACGTATTTCTACGTTCTAAACCTTCACAGTCTCCTTTCTTAGGTAGCATGCCCACTGCTTGCCTTAGAAATTCGACCGTGCCCTCCATGTACGGTTTAAGCACTCGCCCGGTACCGCACAACCCGCCCAGAGGGCGAGAACAAATTTAAATTAAATTAAAACGCCCTCGAACCGGTAATCGAACCCGGTACCCCTCACCTAGCTGTCACTTAATAAGACTGCTAGGCTATTAAGCCCTTATCTGATAACTTATAAATAAAAATTTGCGACAGAAAGATACACTGACAGCGTACAAATATTTTCATATGTCGAACAACTGTTACAAAAATGTCAAATGCCAATTGTCAGGTTATTCATGTTCTTTTATGTGTCAAAGGCTTAAAAAATAAGATGTGTCAAAGGCGATACATCAAGTGTAAACTGTCAAAAATATGATCCGTTTATTCAGGTTGGTTCATAAAATGCAGTACAGTGGTAAATTGAAATAAAATTGTACATTACTATATCTTCTACTCTATATCATGCATAGGTTAATTTGATGGAATGGACGGAAATAGTATCATGGTAATGCATAACAAATCAACATCAGCACATAATTGATATAGTATTTCATAAGGCATTATTAATGCTTGCTGATATCTGGCGTAATACCAATTAAACAGTTAAATTTGTAGTGTACAAACTGAATTGTTAATGTTTTTGTTTGATAGTGTGTGATTTAAATGGAGACTTTTTTTGGCAATTTATTAATAAGTATAGATGTCATGTTTAATTCTGTTAAGTATTGGCTTTAAAAATTAAACATTCATAATTATCATTTTTGTGATGTAATAGGAGGCAAACGGGCAGGAGGCTCACCATATGTTAAGTGATACCGCCCATGGCCACTCACATTGCCAGAAGGCTCGCAAGTGCGTTGCCGGCCTTTTTTTTCGGCAAAAACTGCCTTAAAAAACGCTCAGTTTGGAACGACGAACGTCGAGGTGATACGGATGGTATTTTGTATTCTTCCTTGATGTCCGATAGTGAAACTCAGCTGCAGGTATTAGATCGAACTACTCCTTTGAACACTCTCCATGGTAAATGCGGTAGAAGATGCAAGACCCCACATCTCTACGCAACGCCACGGGATCAAGCCGCACGGAAAGCGACTGGTCGCTGACTACACAAACAAATTATTACATAATAATCAGTTCGGTTTTACCAAGGGTCGCTCGACAGCCGATGCCGGTGTTGAGTTATATAGATATATAGTTAAGGCTTGGGAGGAGTCGCATGACGCTTTAGGTGTTTTCTGCGACTTATCCAAAGCATTTGATTGTGTCCAACACGAGACCTTAATCGGGAAACTCCGCCACTATGGCATCAAGAATACCGCACTGAATCTTCTGACTTCCTATTTACACGGAAGAACTCAGAAGGTTGAAGTGAATAGTAAGAGGTCCTCTGGGTCGGCAGTAGATATGGGGTACCACAGGGCTCAATTCTTGGCCCTTTCCTCTTTCTTGTTTATATAAATGATCTACCTTTCATGGTAGAGAGAAAACATCAGATAGTTTTGTTTGCTGATGACGTCCTTGATTTTTAAAATCAAACGACAAATAACAAATTTTGACGATGTGAACAATGCTCTGTCTTCGAATGTCCATTGGTTTAGTATGAATAACCTTCTACTTAATGCAAAAAGACAAAATGCATTAAATTTTGTGCAAAAAATGCAAGGGTTATGGATACTAGACCAATTATAAACGGTGAGGAATTGAATCTGGATGATACAACTGTATTTCTCGGAATCACCATGGATTCAAAACTTCAGTGGTCCCCTCATATTAACGGATTGGCGAAGAGACTTAGTTCTGCAGCCTACGCGGTTAAAAAAATTCGCTCACTAACTGATGTCGATACAGCTAGACTTGTTTATTTTAGTTACTTTCATAGCTTAATGACTTATGGCTTATTATTATGGGGTCATGCTGCTGATGTCGAAACTATTTTCATCCTGCAGAAGAGGGCTATTCGTGCAATCTATAATTTAAAATGTAGGGAATCTCTTAGAGATAAATTCAAGGAAATTAATATACTTACCTTTCCCTCGCAATATATTTATGAAAATATTATGTATGTATACAAAAATAGTGATAAGTTTACTAGAATAGAACATACGCACAATGTTAATACACGGAACAAACGCAGGCTGCAATTTCCCCGTACTAGACTATCTAAAGTTAGTAATTCTTTTTTGGGGAAAGGGATAGTCTTCTTTAATAAAATCCCAGAGGCTCTTTTATCACTGCCTTTCAATAAATTTAAGAAATGTATTAAAGAAAAGCTGTGTAAAAAGGCTTACTATAAAGTCAACGATTATCTAGTTGTTAAAAGGGCCTGGGACTAGTGCTAGACAGGCTACTTCTAATTAATTTGCGATATTTGTTTTGAATAAGTGTTGTTTGATGATTTGCTGTTTTAAAAGAGTACCGAGAGTTTTTTACGCCGGCTTTTTCTCTCGGCCTACACCCTCTGTCTTCTTTGCCGATGAGTAGGGATGCCTTCAAATTGAATGACGAGGAATAAGTGATACATGTATCTTATGTTCCATAATAAACATATATTTTATACACATATAATATATTTCAATAAAAACAATTGGACAAGCGAACACTTATGTTATTTTACAACGCTTTTTAAAGCTATGTTTTAAATCTCAATAACACTATTTTTTTGACTAAAGCTTTTCTTATAAAGGCCGACCCAATCAAAAAGTTGGTTGCTACGCCCTCTTGCTGAATTTACCAAATTGGCATTTAAAATACAGAAGTTTCAAAGTTAGAAAAAAATTATATCGCGTTCCAGTTACGATGTTTATAAAAAGATGTTTATGACTCTGTAAAAAGAACTGTCAACTGTCAATCTTAAACTTAATTATGTTACGAGCATTAGTGTTTAGATATGTACGTCGGTTGTCTGTCATAGTTTAAGCTACGAATATTTATATGAGGTTTTGATAACACAACTTCTAATTATTAAAAGTTAAATATGTGTTCAACCATTAAATGTCTTTAAATATGTTATTATGTAGCAATACATCTTAATATATATATTTCTTCTGTGCGTGTGTATGTGACTGAACTCCTCTCAAACGACTGGACCGATTTTGATGAAATTTTTGTGTGTGTTCAAGGGGATCTGGGAATGGTTTAGATTCACAAATCAGCCCGGCAGATGGCACTGCAGTCGGTACTTTCATACTTTGCTTAATATCCTAATCGCTTTAAATATCATGCAGGACAACGTCTGTGGGGTCCACTAGTATTTATATGAGGTTTTGATAACACAACTTCTTATTATTAAAAGTTAAATATGTGTTCAACCATTAGATGTCTTTAAATATGTTATTATGTAGCAATACAATTTTTTATAGGTTATTTTCATAATTTTTTAAAATATTTTTGTATCCATCTAGCTGGGTTGTTGATTTTGTATAAAAAACATTTTTTGCATAACAATGTGATCGATAAAAATAAAATAAATTAGTGGCGCTAGAACTTTTATAGGTCTGGGTCTCAGATTTATGTATCTGTTTCATGATCATTTGTCAATCTAATAGGCAAGTAGGTGATCAGCCTTCCGTGCCTAACACACGCCGTCGACTTTTTGGGTCCAAGGCAAGCCGGTTTCCTCACGATGTTTTCCTTCACCGTTCGACTGTTAACTGCGCACATAGAAATAAAGTCCATTGTACAGCCGGGGATCGAACCTATGACCTCAGGGATGAGTCGCACGCTGAAGCCACTAGGCCAACACTGCTCATGTGATCGGAAAAACAGATAAATTTATGCAATGCAATTTATGCGGGGATTTGAACGTACGATCTCGTTTACGACTCAAATCCATCTACTAAGATATTTGTCATATATTAGCTACACTTAGATGCTGATTGCACACAATTCCACTTGACCTCCACTACAAGTCTTCTATTCAACTGAACGTAGGATTTATTTCATACAAATTGCACATTTTTCACTTTAACCTTTCCATTGCTTGATGTGTTTATATGTTAAAATACATATTGTGTTATTTAATTTAAAATCAAATTCAACCAATTGAGAACACCGGTATATTGAATATCAGTCCATAAATTATACTTAAGATTATAACGAAATTACTTCAAAAAACTTTTTACCCTAAAGTTGGTATCAGTGCGTCATAATTTCTTTTTTTTTTAACATAATTATTAATTAAATAAAACAAAAATAAAAGTAGTCTTTATTCGCGTTAGATTAAATTAAGTCCATGTCATTATGGTTAACATTAGTACACGACCTCCGACAGAGTGAATGCCTCCTCCAAATTCTTCCACTTACACATAAGATTTATTACTAACAAAAACACACATAATAACAATAAAAAAAAAAAAAAATCTTTATTAAGTAAATAGTCTTAAATCTATATTTTAGTACATCCCTTTTAGGTTCAAGAACCTGTGTTAGGGATGAACGCTCTTTCCTATATGTTAATACTTAATCTACTTAACAAAGCAAAACAGTAAAGGTACTTAAATAGTTAATTAATTATATTACATACTTGAAAAACCAAATTACTGGCGATTGTTGATATTAAATCGTAATAACTAAACAAGTGAGGTAGATTGAAATCAATCACACCATCGTCTTTCTTTTAATTGTGTGAGTGAGACATGAGTGTAATAAGTAAATAATGAGAGTTTAGTGTTTGAGGTACACCAAATGAAAACCGTAATAGAATTCACTAGCTTTATTGTCCTCTGGCTTACATGGCGGTTATAGGGCGACTGATTGATCCACGTGCAAGTGGAATTATGAAATAATGATACGTTGACAATATTACAAAAGGAATTACGAAATATCTATATAGACAATAATCAAACCTCTACATACACCCCCTTCTTAAAAAAAAAAATCAAAAAATATTTCCTTTTCCCTTTCGGTTCGTTTCAAGTTGGCCCTGGCTCAGCTTTATGCTGAGGAACAGACTGTGTCTCTCATCCTCGCCACAATGTTTCATTACAAGGAATGAAACATTATTATTATAAATTCTAAATCAATGTTTCAGATACGAAACCTACAAAGCGACATTGAAGAAGATCCCCGCGACTCGGCTGTCACGACTGACGGAGGCGCTCGCCAACTATGACCCTGTCCTCAATGAGTACTTCTTTGATCGGCACCCGGGTGTCTTCGCGCAGGTGCTCAACTATTACAGGTAATGATAGGCGGTTATTATTTATATCATGCCATTTATGTGTATTTATGTCGTATGTAGTATGTAAATTTTAATATATATATATATATTTATATATATATATATCACCGGTTCATAGTCCAACATAAAAAACGTTTCTAATTTAGAGTTACTTGTCAAAATACTGGTACTTATCGATTAAATAAAACGAATAGTAGTCGTGGCAATAGAAAAGACAATGCGCCGTCATGTACCCCTCTGAGGTAGTCCTATATTGCTCTTGTCATGATTAGAAAGGAGATGTTTATATAGTTTCGGAGTTCAAGTATTACGTCACGCAATGTTTGGAGATTATTGACCCCCCATGTAACAAGCCGTAACGTTTTTCTGTACCCAATAGTAAAACGTTTCGGGACCACCCAGTAACTCTTCAGCCATCGTAACGTTTTAAACAGCTCATATTTCTAATACATACAGAGATTAATCTGTCTCGACAAAAGAGATTTATAATTCATCATAAATGAAGTCTTTGAATATGACGGGAAAATATTGGATATACTTTCTGAAATTTCAGCTTGTATATGCAATACATTTATAGAATTACATATTAGATATTTTTTATATTTAACTAGCGACTTGCTGGACATTTTTTAAATATTTTGGAATCTACCTACATCTACATGACTGGACAACTATATGGCTGGACTGGATATCTCCGACAGCCGCGTCTTACACGAAAATGCTCTTCCTTTGAGAAATTGATTATTAGAAAATATGATTATTTTTACGTGTACCTCTTAACCGTAGAAAAACTAAAACTTCACTCTCTCAATTGTAATATCGAACAACGTCTTAAATTCGCGAAGCGCAAGATGATTCCGCTCGCCGTGTAAGGTGTGAAACAAAAAATATGAAACGAAAGATAAACTAAAATTCCGTGTATTAAATATATAATTCTTATTACATAGTTTTACATAAAGTAGTTTATATATATAATGCGATGAATGTTTCAAACATCACACTTAGTTACTCAGTGTAGTAGTTCTTACCGTAAAAAAGTTTATTAAATATTAGTATATTAACCCAATGGCGCAACAGAAAAATTGGCTTCAGTGTTCTGATGACATTATTTGTATAGGCAAGTGAACAGCTTCTGTATTTGACACATCCTGATTTTCGAGTCTAAGGCTCGCATTACAAACCATTGCGTACATGAAAATCAATTGGTTGGGAATAGCATTTATTCATTGAAAGGCCTGAAAGGTTTCCTTTATTAACAATAAGGCCGCACTAGGATATCGTAATGGTAAGTTTGATTGTTTTCTTTTATAGCACTGTAAAATTCATGTTCGTAATACATAATTTTAATTTTTGTAATATTTGATAAGGGATATATTTATTTCCCAGATATTTTTACTCGGCCGATCCTCACATTTTTTCTTTAGTCATTGTTGAAATTGTTGTTCTATTTAGAATTTAATAGTGAGTGTTTTGTGCGTTTTTGTGAACTATTGCGAGGCAAGGTATCAGCATCAGTCTTACCTCTTTTTGTTCCCAAACTAATAGAATTTCTCCAAATCCTCACGGCTGACAATATTGTGTGCCTTTCTTCCTGGTAAGGAGACACTATAACGAGGTATGTACTCAGGACTTATTGTTCTAGTATAAGATTGTGTATCGACGCGGACGGCCACTGAACCGTTCTTTGTGGTGTTTATATGTATGTATTGCGTTTAATAACACAATACATACATAAATCGTTCAGTATTGAAAATGTATTTGATTTTCGATTTAAAATGCACAGTCAAAGAACACTTGCTCATCCATTATTAGTATCGACAATTGATGTATCGGCTGCATGACCTTAGTAATAAAATGTTTACGTCATACACTAGTTTGTTTTGCGAATCTATTTTGATTTTGTAATACAATCACTTTCGTGTTCACCATAGCCATATATTTTATTTTTAAGTACTGTTGGTATATCGATATATTTCCATGTTTTTTTTATTTGTTACTATTCACACATTAAATAAACTAAACCTAGATTGCGGCTTCAGCGTGCGACTCCCATCCCGGAGATCGTAGGTTCGATCCCCCGAATGTGCACCAATGGATTTTCTATCTATGTGCGTATTTAACATTCGCTAGAACGCTAGGAAACCATCGTGAGAAAACCGGCTTGCCTTAGATCCGAAAATCTGGCTCCTTGCCTTATAGTTTGACAAATGAACATGAATCAGATAAAGAATCAGAGACCCTGACTTAGGGTTGTAGTACCAATGATTTTTTCAAACCTAGATTGCCCTTCAGTACTGAAGGAAATAATCAAAATACTGTGACACTCGGTGTCGCACGTCGTGTTGTCCGGTGGAACTGATGACAATATTTCTTGGATAGCCAAAGCTAGAGACACCTTCGGACAGTTCCGCTAAATAAGAGTTGTGGATGCCCGGTCCCTAGGTCGGCTAGGGAATATAGGAAATTAAGTCAGTTGCACGTCATCTGTCGTCTCTTATCGTCAAACTGTGATTAAAAAAGAGATGACTACTAAAATCAAAACGGAATGATTTTTACAAACAATTTATAAATTATAATCTGTGTTCTCTTCACTCCTAAATATACTTTTGTGCCTTTATATATTTATGGTTTTATTCTCAAGGAAAATTTATCAACTTTTATCAACTTTACTCAATCGAGGAAGTGATTTATTTGATCTTTAAACCATAAAGCCAAAACCAATACCAATTCGTTCCAATTATTAAAATGCCGGCAACTCACTCGCGTTGAGAGTGTCCATGGACGGTGCTTATCACTTAACATCAGATGAGCCTCCTACCCATTTGCCCTCTGTTCTATGAGTTTTATGGATTTATAAAAGTAAAAAAACTGTTTTACACTAATTCACATTGGTAGTTTGATTGAAGTGTGTTAACCCTATTGAGGACAAGTGTGTTTTAAGTAGCTATCTGTGTTTTAGGGATTTCTTTTAATTCCGAACATCTGGATGTGGATGCTATGTGCGTTTAAAAAACTCGTTGTATTATTTTTTTAAATACTATACAATACCTAAAACTATAAGTGTATTAAAGCACTAGCCACAACATTTTGGCAGTGCATCGATTGTAGTAACTGAGATTAATTGCTACAAGACACAAATATGCTAGAATTTCGTAGCACGCGGCCCATTAAATCCTACAAGCTCGCTACAAATTCGCGTAGGCTGGTAGGGCTACAATGCTGCTACGCGTCTACAGGCGTAGCCATTAACACATTTATACCTCTGTCATTATTATTGTCTTTTGATCTTTATGAGATCCTTTTTATGACATTTGCGATTTTAAGGATCGCTACGGCAAATTGTAAATAAAGGCTTTTTGTTTCACTTTGTTCTGTCAATTTCACTTAAGCTCACCCATGTACATAAATAACTTCTTTATTTGAAAAAGTAAATAAAAAATCAATTATTAAAACTTCTAAATCAAGCGTTTATTACAATAGATTACTTAAGGTTTCGAGCGCTATCGTGATTATCGCGAAAAACTGCCTCACCAAGTTAACAGATTATAATATTATATCTATATCCTTCGCTATTGTGTATATATTCGTTATTTTTTTAAGTAGTTCTCGCGTAAACCTGAGACAGCATTAAATTAAATTTAGTTATCATTTTATAATTTTCTTGCGTAACATGAATAATCGAGCAATGTTGTAAGGGCTTTAGGTTTTATTTGCTACCAAAAGTAAAAAAGTTTTTTAAGTTACTGAAAGCTTTTACTGCTTTTACAGCTAATTAGCTTATTTATATAGTTCACCTACCTAAGCTAACATTCCATTCAATATCTTGCTCCGATCTCAGAAGTACAGGCAAGAAATTCAGTCTTTTTCTGTTCATGTGTACAGAAGAATACAAAGTTATTATATTTTGAATAGGAGAATTTCCAAACTTAAATATTTTTTATTTATTTCTACCAGCTCACTTTTTATCACGGTTTTGTGTGTGTTGAGCGAAAATAATACAGTGAGATTTATCTCACTTTGTTTACTGACTCGAAACAAAGTTATCAAACTCAGTGGGGTCGCCAGATTTTATGTCCAAATTGTACTGTCGAGACCAGGATTAAATCTTTGATATTATATCTTTTTGAATATTTTAAATGATATGTGAGGTTAATGTTTTAGTATAATTTAACGTTGTCTCCATAAACAAATTAATGAAAACCTTTGAATTTTCCTAATTTATTCTTGAATAAAATGTTATTTATTGCTTATTATAATAAGTTTGGAGAAGAAATTATCATTATTAAATTATTTATTTTTATTAAATCTTTTTCACGCAATCGCGTAAGTTATGTAAAAAAAAATGTGCACACATAACTCATGTATTTTCTCTCTTCATCTTTGAAACTTATCTCTTCTACATAACTTTGTAATATATTATATATTTGTATTAGTGTACGTATTCACGATTAAAATGCCGTTATGCCAGTTTCTAAGATGTATAAAACGTGGGTAGAATTATATGATAAAAACCGTAATGTATTATGAAATAGCATTTATGAATTTTACAAGAATATCTCATTAATAAAATAATTTCAAAGTTATATATATTTAATGTATTTGATTATTAAACACATAATTTAAATTATACAATAATTATTGGTGATAAAAAATATCCAAAAAAAATAAAAAATAAATATTATTTTTAAAAAGGAAATATTTTCTGAATCTATTAAAATTGTATAAATACGCACTGCGAGACAACATTTTCTGTAAAAATACTCAAACCGCCGAACCGAACGTGACTCGCGTACGAATTACAATTTTATTTATTACAAAGTTTCATGTATAATGAAATATTAAATTTATTATACTTTTTTATAAAAATGTATATTCATCGTGCGCTCCTAAAATTGAATTTGTTTACATGTTTTTTTTTAATATTCTGATGTATAAAATGGAAAACAATAATAAAATTATTTAACGTTTGTAGAAAAAACGACACTAACAATAGAAAAAAC